TCAACATACTCATGAAACATGAAATTAAGGAAATACCTGAACAATACATTGAGAATCGTTGGAGAAAGGTTGTGATATCAAGGCATTATCACTTTGGTAGGCATGTATATGATATAGGAGATAGTGAAATTAACAGATCTGCCAATCAAGCATAATACAACTTTCAAGCATGCTTGGAATACATAAGAAAAAATCAAGACACGATGGATTTGTTTGTTAAGAAAACAGAAAGCATGTTGAAGTAATACGAGAATGATCCTACAAATAAATTACAGTAAAATATGACAGATGTTGAAGAGGTAGGAAAGCTTATGAGCATTTCTATTCCAAAAGACATTGACATCAATGTTCAAAGCAATAAAGGAAGTGAAAAGAAAAATAGAATTCAAAGTGCAGCAGAAATAGCATATAAAAGTTCAAACAAGCAAACAAGAAGATGCTCAAGATGTGGAGAAAAGGCTCCTCATAACTTGCATACATACCAATAAAACTTGTAGCAAAATAATCATCAAAAGTTACATAGATAATTACTAGTGTAATCAGTAATGAATAATTCAAGATTTTTTTTTCTAAATAATATACTTTTTAGTAAATTACACAAATGGTCCCTATGGTATACGGTAATTTGCGCGTTTGGTCCCTAACTTATTTTTTTTAACTCGGAAGGTCCATATTGTTTGTTTTTGTTACGTGCTTGGTCCCTATCTTACTTAAAAACACTATTTTGCCCTTGATTTTTTAATTTATTTAAATAAACATTCCCCCAACCCCACCCCCCTCACCTTACCTTACCTACCCCACCATTTTTTCTTATTTAAATAGTAGTTTTTTTAGGTAAGAAAGGGACCAAACGCATTACAAGAATAAACAATATGGACTAAACGCATAACAAAAACAAACAGTAGGGACCTTTCGAGTTAAAAAAATAAGTTAGAGACCAAGCGTGTAAATTACCCCAAACCATAAGGACGATTCAAGTAATTTACTCTATACTTTTTGTTTGGTACACTTTACTCTTTTTATAAAACAAAATTTACTTTGATAATTCTTTCTTTGATTTTATTAGTAGTACAACAAAACATTTTTCTTGAATTTTTTCTATCTTAAACCTTCTTCTATGTAACTTTATGTCTTTTATGATTACAAAAGTATATAATCTTTTATGATTAAACAAAACATATGAAGTGGTATTACATAATCATTTATGATTATACAAATAAAAGTAATTATGTAATCTGTTAACTGTTTTTCAATACATGCAATCATAAAGGATTATGTAATACCACTTCATATGTTTTGTTTAATCATAAGTGATTAAAAATATGATTACATATAAATAATATTAAAGATCTACTACAAAACTCATTACATAGAACCATATACAACAACATTGTTCTAACGAATATTCGACATTGTTCATAAAAAATATAAACATAACAATATCCATCTAGAAAATCAAATTCTAATCACTCATCATAGAATTTCATCAAACATGATAAAATCTTCAATAACAAATAATTTCACAAGTCTCAAATATCACGTTCCCCATTTTCCTAGATTCTTGTTCTTCTTATTCCTAGCTAGATTTTCATACATATTGTAGCTGACTCCAAGAACACTTCCATCATTACTTAGAAAGATTATTTGCATTGAACATACAAAATCTTTACTACATATCTGATGTAGAGAAATGTTGTTCATTAAAAAGAAATCTTCTTTAAATGAGCAACATCCCTCTACTTCAAAGACATCTAGTAAAGACCTGATATGTTCAATGTAGATAAACGTTTTAAGTTGTAGCACCTGGTTCTTGGTACGTACTGTTTTCTTTAAATATTTTTCATTTTGGCCTTGGACTTGGCGAGTTGAAGGACCAACTCGGTGAGTAGAGGCGGGATGAGACGCGGAGTTTAAGCTGTGGACACGACGAGTCGAGTCCCGGACTCAGCGAGTAGGCCCTGTCTGGACAAAAACCCTAACCCGAGGGTTTGCATGCTATTTAAACACCTTAACTCGGCGTCCTTCGTCCCATTTGCTCCCCGAAGACCCCCATAGCAAACCCTAGATTTTATTGAAGCAATCTAAGGCATTTGGAGTGATTTTGGTGCTTTTGTGATCCATAGAAGGAAGGAAAAGCTTGAAGGATCAAGAGGAGGCTAGAAGGATTCAGTTTTGAGCATCATTTGCAGTTTATAGAAGGTATAAAGTCTATACCTTCCTTGCTCTTTTGATAGATCCCATTTTGTGGAGTTTTAGGGCTTTTCTAAGCCATTTTGGTCACCAACCATGATTGAAAGCATGGTTGGGGTTGATGTTTCGGATCTAGGTACTTAGAGGGGTTACAAGGCAGAAAGGAGTGGCTTTTGCACTCAAAGAAGGCCGCATGCATTGTAAGATCTTGTTTTAGGACCTTTTGAGCTCAAAGTCCCATTCAGCACGTAAAGGTTGTAACTTTACGTGCTAGGTCGATTGTAGAAGCATAGATCTATCATTTGACGGAAGGTTGTACATCAGAAATCGAAGTTTTAGTGAGGGGATGTAACCGACTCTACGAGTCTATTCTTGGACTCGAGGAGTCCAAGGTTTCTGTTCCATATCAGTGAGGGTCAAAAGGACGCAGTTGAGTGTGGAAAGGTTCTACGGAGTCCTGGGGAGTGACCCAACGTTCTGGACTAAGCCATTGTTCTGGAAATTCATGGGACTCGGCGAGTGCATGAGCAAACTCGGCGAGTCCAAGGCAATCTTATTAAGGATGAAGATGAACTCGGCGAGTCGAGCACATAACTTGTTCATCAAGATGAAGGTGAACTCGACGAGTTGTTCATCAAATCGCCGAGTCAGATGAGTTTCATGTGGTGTTCATATGAGAAAAGAACTCATCGAGTTGATGGCCCAACTCAACCAGTGGGGTCATGTATGAGGACGAGTAAAGAGTGAGGGACTCGCCGAGTTGATGGCCCAACTCGGCGAGTCGGGTCAACTTGAAGTTGACTTTGGCTTTGGCTTTGACTTTGACTTGGTGAGGGGTAAAATGGTCATTTTACGCTAAGAACAGTTAGCAATATATAACTAAGTGTTTTGTGGGAATTATAGCCAGAGGACTTCCGGGGCAGCAGCGACAGTGGTCAGAGAGTTCCTACACAAATCAGCAGCTACTACGAGGTGAGTTACCTTCCAGTATCGGTGGGTCTACGACCACAATGTCATCCCACCAGTAGGAGTCGTATGTTAGATGATTGTCTTTGTGATATCATCTAGGTTTGCTACTACCTGATATGTTATATGCTGGCATGATATGTTATATGTGATAGTAGTAAAGTTCGGTTGTTAGGACCGAAGGGTAGGTCAGACACCCCAGATATATCTGAAAGTATGTGATGCTATGTTTATATGCTTGCATGATATGTTATATGTGATAGTGGTAGTAGGAGGGGAATAGTCCCTATGTTTGGTTGTTAGGACCGAAGGGTAGTTCGGACACCCCAGATATGTCTGATAATATGTTTTTGTTATGATATATGTGATAGTAGCAGTAGGGGGTGGAATAGTCCCCGAGGGTCGGTTGTTAGGACCGACGGGCAGGTCAGCACCCCAGAATGGCTTGACATGGGTAAGACGACACCCCAAAATGGCTGTATGGGTAGGACAGCACCCCAGAATGGCCGCATGGGTAGGTCGGCACCACAGAATGGTCGTACCGAGTAGGTCGGGCACCCTAGAATTGCCTGGTAGTATGTATGCTATCTGATTATATGGTATGTGGTACGATGGGGGAACTCATTAAGCTTCGTGCATACAGTTTTCAGTTTTGGTTTCAGGTACCTCTTCAGCGAAGGGGAAGGAGCTGGCGCGGTAGTGGCACATCATACACACGCTCTTTGTTTTCCGCGCTATGAGATATTCTGGGATTTGTACTCTGACATTATTATGTTTTATGATTCGGTTTTCAGATACGAGACATGTTTTTATTTAATAATATGATCGGATGATATTTTGTTACAAATGTTTTGCAAATCACTTAATCAAAAATGAAATTTTTGGACGTGAAAATTGGGTCGTTACATAAGTCATAGCGGAAGTGGCGTTCTCGGAGTCAACTACAATATCTATGAAAATCTAGCTAAAAGTAAAAGAACAAGAATCTTGAAAAAATGAGGAACATGTTATTAGATTGAACAAAATTAGTTCTTTTAGACTTATAGACTCCATATTTTACCTAAAACAAAATGGAAGTTGTTTACATCATAAATAAGTAATGGTGATATATAAAAATTGATGAAATTAACAAACAAAACTAACAATTTGGAAGTATAAGGATTCATCTTTGAAGAAATATAAGGGGTAGCACAAGGCTACCCCTTATATACAAATATAATCACTTATCAAAACTACACTATATGGCTGTCCCAATCAGTTTTCATTTATAAAGAAAAGATTCTCACTACAAACACTAAAAAACAAAGCTAAAATCTTACAAAGATAAAATTCTGCATGGTGATGTATTCCATGTAGTAATGATAAGCTCACTTATCAAGAAAAACATATAATAAATTATAATGTGTTGTACAACATATATAATCGTTTATTATTAGAAAAACAAAATACAATCACTAATGATTACATATAAACAACTTATAATCAATAGTAAAAACATAAAATTACATATAAAAATATAACATAGTCACTTATGATTAACATTCAATAACATAATTCACACAAACAAACTTACATAATAAAATCCACCAAAATACATATTAACTTGTTTTCCATCACCATGTTTTTCATCATCATAAAAACAAACATTCTTCACAAGATCCATAACATACACAACATAAACAAACTTGTTCTTATAACATCATCAATAAGAAAATATTTAATCAAAAAACAGCCTTCTGTCTATATTCCATTGAGCATCATATGCATGCTTACCATGAATATTTTGATCAACTTTTTGATACTCATATACATCTTTCAACACATCATCACGCTTTGTATTAATCTCAGAAGTTAAAATTGTTGTTGTATATTTCATTCTCAACTTTTCCATAATTTTTTTCTTGAGATCCACCTTCTTTTGGAAGACCACATTTCCATTTATAACTTTTTTCTCGAAAATAACTCTCCATATGTCTCCTAGCAAAAATACCACAATCCACTTTGTTATAAACTGTCCTCCATGGCATTATCAATCTCACCGGTGTAAGATTTTTATCAGCCATTTCATTTGCTTTAACATGATTGATCTCTTTTAGATACTTCAAAAAAAAAACTTTTTTTGAAAATCATATATGATTTCACATCAGAAAAATATAAGTATTATAATATTAAAACATATCATACATGATTTGATATCTAAATTATAAATATGATTTGAAACTTACAAGAGGTTTAAAAACTACACCATACTTATCATCAAAATAAGCATCATCTGCACCATTATCAATAACCTCAAAAGCACGTTTCTTCAGATTGATAAAAATAACATATATGTGCTTTTACCTCAAAACAGGGAAAAATACCTAACATTAACATATATAATATTAGAAAAAAAACATTAATAAACATATATAAATGTATAAAAAAACTAAATATATCATATCAACATCCTTCATAACCTTCAAGTCTCTATCACCAGAAACACTATGAGAGAAGTTCTCCTTGAAAACTCTTTATTTTCCAACTTCATTCAAATAATTATATTCAAATGACAAAGTTTGTAATATAAAAAATAAGAAATGATTATATAATTAAATGATTATAAAAATATAAAAATAAAAGAACAAAATAAAAACTTACAGTGTCAACATTCATGAACAATCTGAGTGGAGAATTAACAACATTTCTAAATTTCTCTTCATGATTTGGTATACGAGACCATGAATCAAGAACACTTACATGCAAATAGGTTTTTTATAAAGACTTTCATAATTAGCACTAAAACCCATAAAATCTGTTTCCATAAGCAAGATAATATCCCTATATACGTATATATATATATATATATATATATATATATATATATATATATATATATATATATTTAAATGTCATTAAAAAAATTATAATTATAAAAATAAAAAAATATATTTGAAAAAATTACCCTGGATTTCCTTGAAGGCTGAAAATCCGTTCACAAACAACATTTTCTACTTGTGTCAAAGTTGGTTTAAAATCAATTAACCATTCCTTAAAAGGTGACTTATAAACATAAGAAAATTTCATTTTTCTTTTTCCTTTTACATCTACTACTGATGTTCCTTCTTCATTTATATCTTTAGGTTTGACTAAAATTGGTTTTGATGGTCCTTATAATGTACCCAAAGGGGGTGCAAAAGAAACAGGATTAGCATCAATAACATCAACATTTGGAATAACACACTCTGGACCAACACTTGGTTTCTTCAAATAAACTCTATCCTTAATCTTTTTCTTTGTCATCCGTTCAGAAGAACTTTAAATTTTAGATGACTTCTTGGAACCTTCAGAATCTTGACTAAATCCAATACTAAAACTTGGAACAAAAAACTTCTCAACTTTCCCTTCCACTTTGTACATTTTCAGTGATTGAGTCTCCTTTGAATCCTTCAATTGTATAATTTCTAAACCATCTTCAACCGTTTCTACCCAATAAAATTATAAAAATCATATATGAATAAGCAAGAATTATAAACACAATCATATACAAATAAACAATAATTATAAATTAATTACCTCCATCTTTATTTTTATTTGAAAAATCTTCTCTTGGTTTCCCTAAATCCAAATCAACTTCAACATCTTCACATTCTCCATCCTTTTTTGCTACAATAACTTTATCATCCTCACCCAAATTTATAGTCCCTAAATTATTAAAATCATAGGTGAATCATCTATATAACATATTCATATATATTTTATGTATAAAAAATACATAAATAAATACTTACTGTCATCAAATTCATTTTTCTCAAAGCCTGTCAAATTCTCATTCACATCATCTTCAACTCGTTTCTGATTTATACAACCATCAACCACATTTTCAGTACCTATAAAATTCAAATATAAAAATTTAAAATCATATATGAGTACACTATATATAATAATAAAATATGCTTACCTTGATCCAAAGTTTTAAGAAAACTTTCAACAACTGGATCACAAATGAATTGACTAAAAGATACATCTTCCTGGTTATCAATTAGATCCACACTCTTAGTAACATTTTCAACAACAAAATTTAAGTTCATGGCCTCTTCTTTATTTAATCCACTTCCATTTCCTTGTTCATCATCTTCATTATCTTTCTCATTCAACAAATCAGTATTTTTACCAATATCATCCTCATATACATCATCATTAACATCACCTTTACCGTCAACATGATTTTGACCAATATTTCCCTCATGTGGACCACTTCCATCCCCTGACCACCAGAACATTTCCCTTGATCATCATCTTCAAGATTTTCATCATCATTTAGAAAATCATTCTCGTAATCTTCATCATTAAGTTGAACAAAAATAAGTGTCAATATCGGTTCTTTACTTTGTTGTAAAACATAATGGAAATCAAAAGTTTTCTGCTTAAATCTTCAACAGGAAATAATAATTTCCAAATTTTCAAATTTTGACTTTGAGGAAATTTCAACACTCCCTCATCTATCTTTACAACAAGATCCCTTTTCAAATCCTCCATCTTCTGATACATATATGAAATTTTATTTTCATACACCTACATAAAAAACATATACTTACAAATAAAATACTTAAAAATAAAAATTCATAAATGAATACACTAATAAAATAATAAATGAATAAAACTATAAAATTACCTCCACAACACTAACTTTATTTACATCACAATCTTCTTCATCCTCATCACATAAATCCTCTGCACCATCAGATTCATCCTTATCACCACCCGATTCTTCCTAATTATACTCAGATTCTTGACATTCATCTTCAATATATGGTTCATTAACATCTCCACATCCAAATCCTCCATTCTCTTGTAAAGTATACTCAAGAAACCTTATCTTCTCTGACGTCCAATAAAAAATAGTTGGACGTTTACATGTGACTTGCAAATGATCAAACTTGAAACTATCCACATACAACAACTACAAAAAACATATATAACAAATAAGTTAACTTTCTAAAAAGATTTACATATACAGTTTAATATATCATTACTTATTATATATATATATATATATATATATATATATATATATATATATATATATATTAATAACCATATATGATTATGTTGTCTGATATATAATAAATCATATATGATTATAAAATCATATACGTTTAAAAATAAAAACAAACATATTTTTAAAACTAAAAATAATATTTAATCTCAAAAAATTAGCTCACGTACCATAATGTATGCTGCTGGTCCATAAAAGAAAGAAGATTCTTTCTCTGGGTTGCAAACCTTCTTCATTCTTATCAACCAATCGACAATGAAATCGCACCAGTCAATGCTACTTAAATCAGTATCTCTTCTAATTAAATACAATGAATTCAGATTACATTTTTCCATGTTTGTAGACTCACATAATGTATTAATAAAAAGAACCAAAAAGTTGATTCTAAAATTATCATCCACTGCACTAGTTCTCACAAGTTTATTCTTTAGCTGTTTGAATCTCAATTTATCAATATTTTCATACTATTTCATCCATTCAAACATAAAACTCTCTTCATTATTCTCAGAAATATAATCCATGTTTGAAAGTAATGAGCCACCAAATGGTAATTCTAACATCTCATGAACATACTTACTATCAACACTAACTTCATAATTTTCAAACTTCACCTTAAAAGTTTCAAAATTAAAATGATCAAGAACATAATAAACAATCTTCTACAGTACATAAATCATCTTCATGTGTAACAAACTCCCAAATCCCATAGCCCTAACACAATCCTTATGTTCTCTACTTAAACCTTGAATAACACCCAACAATGAACCGTGTGAACATCTGTTCTTCAATGAAGGAATTTCTTTTATAACAACCACTTTTTCCTCTTTCTTAACAACTTTACTTTCTCTCTTTGGTTTCTTTGAAGATCCAGGGCAACTCTGAAAATTAGAATCATCTTCATCAGATAGTTTACGTTTCTTACTTACAGTTTTGACCTTAACCCTCAGGTTCACTTTTTGTTGTTCAATAACTATTTTTTTAGATTTCTTTGACCGTGTTTGCAAAACCCCCTAGGCCTTTTCTGTTTTGGAAGATGACTATGTCTTCCTTGAGCTATCTAAAGTATATTTTTACAGAAAATTTTCATTCGAAACATAGTGTTAGTAAAAAATAAAACATAATACATATAATCAATTGCAAATCAAGAAACATAATGTCACACCCCCAAAACCGATAACGGCGGAATATGTTTCGGGGTGGATGACGTAGTGTACAGTATCATCACAATTGTATAATAGTAAAAGCAAGAAACATACAACCATTTCATTTATATAGTAAGTGTATTTACAAGTGTGTTTTGTAATGTTTGACAAACACCAAAAGTAAACAAAAATAAGAGATGGGTCTTGTATCCTCCATCTTCTCCAAAAATTGCTGCTGTACCTATCTATCTTTGACCTGAAGATACAAGTTATTTTGAAAAGAATATCAGCATAAAGCTGGTGAGTTCATAAGAGTTTTAGTGTGAGTACTTGTATAAAAAGCATAAGAGTCATTATTGTGAAAACTGAAGTTTGAAATCATAAATAGTGGTGAAACCTAGAAAATCCCATATTTTCCAGAACATTAAGTAATGTAATATAGTGAGTTATTCTTAGAGTATGTAATAGTGGTGCAGCATCCTTTAGTATTAGATACTTATTTACTTCGGGATATTACTTCATCTTTCTTTTAGTATTTTAGTGCGGTTATAGTGTCTTTCTAGTATATTCCCAATAGTGTGAGTAATAGCGAACCCCCATGACCTTCCTAGTCATGCATAGTGTAGTAGAGTAAAAGCATCCCTGGGCCTGAGCGGCTCCGACTGAAGTTATCAGTTGGGATGTAATAGCGTCTGCCCCGTATAGATCTATACATATAGTGTCGTCTTCCTGTCGGAAAACTTCGGGCATAGTGAATAGCGTATAGAGTATCCCGTAGTGGATTAGCGAGTTATCTCATGGTTAGTGCATTCTCTTGTATTATAGTGCAGTAATCTTTCGTATAACTTGTATTGTATTCTCTTATTAGTGTATTGCTTCATAGTATAGAGAATTATAGTGGTGTAGAGTAATAATGGAAACTAGGGATAGAGTCCTTAACTATATCCATTATAGTTAATTTAGTGTATGTGATTCTAGTCAAGTAGTGATTCAGGTAATTAATGAATTAAGAAGTACTCATAATCTGTACTAATATATCAGATATATAATTAAGAAATCAATGACAGTCGGATGGATAACTACTACCCGAAGTCCACAATCAAACAAGAAACAGGAAATAAGGCGAGCTATCGGTCCTAAGTCTTTCAAATCTTACTTATATAAATATATCAGCATGATTACATTCTTATAAAGAGTTTTATTTAACAAAAGTATTGTACGAAAGGAACATTTAAAACTTATTTGTTAATCCAAGATAGTTTTGAAAACAATTGATTTATTTATAAAGCATAGTGATAAATCACATGTGATTTGAACTACAGATTGGGAATCACATGTGATTAACTCTGAAATCTAAAAAATAGTTTTGTATAACTTTTCATAAACATTTATATTCAACTTGTATCTCCCCCTAAAACATATAAACATTTGAAAGGTTCATTAAGGGGTATGAACTCACCTGAAATCGCGGAAATCGGGTAAATCGGGTAAAAGTGTCGATTGAGCGTTTGGTACCCAATAACCTCTTGAGCACCTCCTGGGACCCTAATGTCATATGAAATATGTATTTTAAAAGAAGTTAATCATCTTGTGCTTTTCATTATAGTATTGGGACATTCTAGCATCGTTTTCGGGGTTTTAAGGCTTAGAAGGGGTTCCCGGGAGTGGTACAAAGTCATGAATGATTTACGGGAGGGTCCACGAGCTCACTCCCTTGGATTTTTATGGCCCAAAGGCCATCCTTTGGGAGTTTACGGCCGTAAACCCCCTAGGTTTGGCCGTAAACTCTTGTGGCACTCCAAAGTGTATGTTTAAGGTCTTATTTCACTTTCTTGATTTAGTGGTATGTGTCTTGGACTATTTTAAGGGATTAAACATCATAATTTGTGACATTTTTGGGGAGTTTACGGCCAAGGCTTGTTCTTGGGCCGTAAACTCTTGTAAACCCTTCAAGATGTATGTTTTGTTGGTACAACAAAGTCTCATACACCTTAGATAAATCCTAGAAGGCCCTATAGTGAGTTTGGGACAATTTGGCATACATTTTTGGGGAGTTTACGGCCCAAGAACACCCTTGGCCGTAAACTCTTCATTTTGTGTCCAAATGTGAAGTTTAATGGTACAACACACTTCCAAAGGCCTTAGCTAAAATCCTTACATGCATTTGAGGGGTTTTGGGACTTGTTTGACATAAAAATATGGGTGTTTACGGCCCAAGCTTAGCCTTGGCCGTAAACTCCTCTTTTTGCCATCAAATGATGTTGTTTGATGCATTTAAGCCTTCCTTGTTGTCAACTCTAAATTGCCAAACGCCCTAGTTGAGTTTTTGGGACATTAAACAAGTGTTTTTGGGGTGTTTGAGGTGTTTACGGCCTAAGCACATGCTTGGGCCGTAAACTCCTTTTTAGGCTCTAATTCCTTGTGTTTTAGTGTCCAAAGTCCCCTAGGTTTGTGCCTTAACTAGTCCATAAGCTTAAAGGAAGGAAAAACAAAGTCTTTGGCATGAATTTGGGGGTTTACGTGTGACAACCGTCAAATTCTGGTCAATTCAAAGTCAAATAAAGTCAACAAGTCAAACCGGTCAGCTCAACTAACCCTTGTGTACTTGGACTTACGTTCAGTATTTACTAAACAACTCGCTATTCTAATAAGAGAACATAAATCGAAAAGTACGTACAACTAGATCTCTTTAACCTAAAAATTATAGTACGTGGCAAGCCAAACTGTTAAAACAATGATGCATACTCATCGGGAGTGTGTAAGATCCTTAAACAAGGCTTAACAGGGTTTACGAACCATGCATTGCGATGCCGGACACTCACAACTGTCCCACATGGATCCTCTCTCAATCGTTTTCACTCTATCTCTCTCTCTCTATGTCAAATCTCTCCCAAATCTCTCCAAGTATGTGAAATCTCTCTCAAATATCTCTCTGTATGAGAAATCTCTCCAAGAATGTCAAATCTCTCCCAAATCTCTCCAAGTATGTGAAATCTCTCTCAAATATCTCTCTGTATGAGAAATCTCTCCAAGAATGTCAAATCTCTCTCAAATCCCTCCAAGTATGTGAAATCTCTCTCAAATATCTCTTTGTATGAGAAATCTCTCCAAGAATGTCAAATCTCTCCCAAATCTCTCCAAGTGTGAGAAATCTCTCCAAGTATGTGAAATCTCTCTCAAATATCTCTCTGTATGAGAAATCTCTCCAAGAATGTCAAATCTCTCCCAAATCTCTCCAAGTGTGAGAAATCTCTCCCAAATCTCTCTCAAAAGTTTCCCGTAACTTTTTGGAATCATTCGGGTCATTCCGGCCCTTAACCGGGTCAAAAACGGCTTAAAACAGGGCGAAAACGAGAAAAATAGGCTTTAGGAACCGAAACCGGAATGAGAGGCTTCTTAGGACCAGAGACCGAGCCTCTGGTGGCTAAGAGACCAGAGACCGAGCCTCTGGTGGCTAAGAGACCCGAGACCAACCGAGCGATCGGTCCCTCTCGGTGCCTCTCGGTCCGCCTCCACTCTCGGTGCCTCTCGGTCCGCCTCCGCCTCTGTGTTCGCTACTCCGCCTCTCTGTTCGCTACTCCACCTCTCTGTCTCGCGCGCCTCTCTGTCCCCTCCCACCTCTCGGTTCCTACCCTCTCCCTTCTCCCCTCTCGGCTCCTTCCTTCTCTCTTCTTCTTCTCTCGGTTTCTGCCTCCCTCTCTCTCGGTTCAGCACCAGAAGGCCGAGCCTCGGCCAGATTTCGCATATTTGCCACTTTTAGCCCATTTTTGATATTTTTGACATTTTAAGCCCGTTTTTCATGATTTTAAAGCGGGATTTTCTCCAGAAATTATATTTTAACATTATAAACTCTAAATATTCATAATTTAAACATATTTTGATGAAAATCATTATTTAAATAATAAAAATCAAATGGGTGAATTATTAAAGGTGGAGTGTTGACTTTGTCTTATCCAAAGTCACAAGCAACCACCTCACACCCACTCTTTGACTAACCACACCTCTCCACCTTACCTAGGTCACATCAATGTCTTTTTCAATTATCCCTCTTCCCACGTTTTTGAGGGCTGATTATTCATCCTCTCTCCTCACTTCTCTCATTTGCTCTCATTTCACAAGAAGATCAAACTCTTTCCTCTCTCACTTTCTCTCTCTAGAAATTCGAGATTCAAGGGCTGATCTTGAGTTTTTCC